CTGACAAGAATGGCGAGGCCACCGACAAGAATGGCGAGGCTACCGACAAGAATGGCGAGGCTACTGACAAGAATGGCGCCGATGCTGCTGCAACAGCTGACCCTGTGACCTCGACCCCGGCAGTCGAGTCGGACGAAACGGCCGCTGTCGACGCAGCGCAGGAAGTCGACAAGACAAGAAAGGAAATGGAAAAAGAAATCAAGAGAAAGGAAAAAGAATTGGGAAAAGAAATCAAGAGAAAGGAAAAGGAAATCAGAAAGGCAGCAAGAGCGGAACGGAGGCGGGAAAAGGAGGAGCGGAAAAGGGCCGAGGCGCAGTACCAGGAGCGGCTCACCAAAGTCTGCCTAACCCATGCCCTGTTTGAAAAGGCGCTGCAGAGGATGCGGCCGACGGTGTCCAAGGAAGCGATTGAGGAGATTGAAAAGTTTGCCCGGATGTACAGCGACCATTGAGGAGTAGAGCTAGTTTACGTGGTTTCCCAGAGGAGTCATGTTGATGAATTGAGTCAGAACGGGCTGTTGCCGATAGATATTCCATCTTGCCTGTCTTTACACTGGGCTACTTGAAACTGTCATGGGTATTGTCCGAACTATGTTTGAGATGCAAAGTGCCCATTTGGTCAGCCAAGACGTGATGGTTTTACGGTGATGGCACGACAGCTGTGTCTAGATTTCATGTAGGCCCGGAGAGAAGTCGTCAAGGTGACCATGATATGACACCTGGATATCGGAATACGTCAGTTGGAGGGGATCTATTAACAAAATTCTTGGCGTCATCATAGATGTGGTTGTTGGACAAGGTTTAAAGGGCCATGGTGAGCTGTATAGCGACAGAGGTGTGGACGTGACTGGAACTTTCATGGCAAAACGACGAAAAAGGTTGACCAAGAACGAACAAAGCTCCAGCTTGCCAGTATATACAGTGCCCTAAATGGCCAACAAGAAAACCTCGTAAACCGCGTGACCCCCCCCCCCCCCCTCTGCGCAAAGTCGAGTCGGGTCGCGCAACCAATCGACCCCGGATTCTGCGGGTTGACTTGATTGACGCCGCAAAACTGGCCGACGAGGGCGTTACGGAGAAAAAGAATGGAGTCATTTGTTGGTGGCGTTGGGCGGGTTGGAGGGGGGCATGAACCATAGGGGGGGATGAAGCCAAGAAGCCAAGAGGAAATGGCGGATCGAGCCGAGACGATGGGCTTTGTAATGCCCAGAGCCATGGCCATCAAGCGGGAGTCGGAAACGACTCGTTGGTTGTTGGTCAGATACTGGGAAGTAAATCAAAAAAAACATTCAGTATCAAATAATAAATATACAGGGCCAGACGAGATGGAGACTTGCATCCGACGGCAATGTCCAATGTCACTCGTGAAGACGGACGTTTCCCCGCCTCGATATTACGAGAAAGGAATCTCCGTGCTGCACACCTACATATGCGCTAGCTAGCAACAGCAGGAGAATGATGCACCCCGCCTCACTCGAACAACGTAGTATTCAAAAAAAAAAGGAAAAAAAAGAAGAAAAAAAAAGGACAAGACTCTACAAGACACAAGCTCAACAGCCGTAGCCGGCGCCGATCCACGCTAAGCACGGCTCTATCCAGCTTCCTTGTTAGGAATAGCGCCGGCTTAAAAGTTGGGGGGTTCATGGGGGGGGATGAGAATCGAAAAGAGGGTTTCTATTAGTCGCACGAGGGGGTTTATGACTGAGAAACGAGAATGCCGAGGAAGAAACAAAACAGCCGAGTAAATGAGGTAAGAAGCGGGCAGACTTGTCACGGCTTGTACCAGGAACCTGTTGGAGCATCATGTACATCGAGGCTGGGGTAGGACCCCTGCTCGGCGGCTGACGTCCCCGGCATGGAGGAGTCTGGGGAAACCGTCCAGACTTGTTATTTTTTTGTTTGCCCAACCTCGTTCAAGGTTTCTAGCTCGTTTGACGTATCATCTGCAGCTTGTCTCGTCGCTGGCACAACCCCGCCACTTTTCAGCCCTTCAAGCAACGGCCTCGGGCGCTGTCGCATGCTCCATGTCTCGCCTCCCACACACCCGACGGGAAAAGGACCCGGGTGGGGAGGCAGGAGGCAACTACAAGCAAAAAAACAAGAATGGGAATAAAAGAAAATGCAGCCATTTATTCCACCGACCAGGTTCCCCTCTCTCCCCCCCCCTCCCGTTGCAGCCTCGTCCGCTCCCCGCTCGTCGGGGCATCTCTCCCATGCATGTACATTATACAAGAAGAAGCCGGAGCCCCCCCCTTCTCCATCCTAACGGCTTGCCCTCCCCCCATCTCCTTCTTAACCCTCTTATTTTCACTCTCCATCTCCCATCCGTGAAATAGACAAAGCCGGGGCCATCATGACCAAGGCCGGCTCCGTCCACGAGGCCGTCGAGCCCGCCTCGCCCGCCGAGAAACCCCGGATGTACGCCTCCACCTCGACCGTGCCCTACGCCGACCAGGTGCCGCACGAGATGATGGAGGGCCTGGCGCCCAACGGCGAGGCCGACTACATCCGCGCCCACATCAACGCCATGTCCGAGGACGAGGCGCTCGCCATCCTCCACGAGTCGCTCGACTTCCACTCGGACGACTGGAACTTTCCCGCCGACATGCGCGCGCGCATGCACAAGTGCCTCCAGGGGCCCAAGGTCTACGGCGAGTGGTACGACAGGGACCTCCGCGTCGACGCCGTCATGATGAAGTACTCGTCGCCGTATCCGGGTGTGCGCGCCGTCGCGAGCCCGCTCGATGATGAGAATGTGCCCGTCGAGACGATTCGCGCGTATTTTCTGGGCGTGGGCTGGGCGATTATCGGAACGTTTATGGCGACATTTTTTAACAGTCGCTTTCCGGGTATTGGTACGTGCCACCGATTCTGCATACTATTTTTTATACTGGTTTTCCCTCTCTCCGGAGCCCGGCGCCGGGGATACTCCGCCGCGCCGCCGCCGCCGCCGCCACAACACCAAGGCTCCACTCGTACCAACTATCACGAGAATCCCAACACTTTCAACAGCCTTTGCCACACAACCAACCCATTACTCCCTTTTATTTTATTTTATTTTTATGTTATTATGATTCATGTTGCAGTCATGATTAACCAAGAAAACAGGTCTCGGTAGCGCCGTCATCCAAATCCTGCTCTACCCCTGCGCCAAGGCTCTCGAAGCCGTGCTGCCCGACTGGGGCTTCACGGCCTTTGGCACGCGGCACTCGCTGAACCCGGGGCCGTGGACGTTCAAGGAGCAAATGTTCTCGACCATTTGCTACAACATTGCCATCTACAGCACCAACGCGTACACGATGATCCTGGTGCAGCGCTCGCCCGTCTTCTACGGGCTCGCGTTTGTCGACTTTGGCTACCAGCTGCTGCTGACGCTCTTTGTGCAGCTCATGGGCATGGGCTTCGCCGGGTACCTGCGGCGGTTCAGCGTGTACCCGGTCAAGGCGCTGTGGCCGACGCTGCTGCCCATCATCGCCATGAACCGGGCGCTGACGACGCCGGAGCCGCGCGAGACCATCAACGGCTGGACCATTTCGCGGTACCGCTTCTTCTTCGTGTGCGCCGTCGCCATGTTCGTCTACTACTGGATCCCCGGCTACCTCTTCACCGCGCTGTCCACGTTCAACTGGATGACGTGGATCGCGCCGGAGAACCTGACGCTCGCCATCCTCACCGGCTCCCGCCTCGGGCTCGGCCTCTTCAACCCGCTCACCACATTTGACTGGAACGTGGCCACGTCGTCGTACGCCGCGCTCGCGCAGCCCTTCTTCGCCACCTGCACCATGTACCTCAGCGCCATCCTCGGCGGCCTCGTCATCCTCGCCATCTACTACAGCAACATGTACAACACGGCGTACCTGCCCATCAACTCGGCCGCCGCCTTTGCCAACGACGGCTCCATCTTTGACGTGAAGAAAGTCGTCGTCGACAACAAGCTCGACCCCGCCAAGCTGCAGGCGTACTCGCTGCCGTTCTACTCGGCCGGCTACGTGCTCACCGTCGGCGCCAACTTTGCCTTTTACCCCGTCTACTTCTTCTACATCATGGTCAACCAGTGGAAGACCATGTCCAAGGCCTACGCCGACTTCTACCGCGGCCTGCGCCACGGCCGCGCCAGCTACGACGCCGACGCCATGGACGTGCACAACCGCGCCATGCTGCAGTACGACGAGGTGCCCGACTGGTGGTTCCTCGCCATCCTCGCCGGCACCGTCGCCCTCTCCGTCGTCTGGATCCAAATCTACCCGCTCGGCATCCCCGTCTGGCTCGTCTTCCTGCTCATCGCCATCAACCTCGTCTTCGCCGTCCCGCTCTCCTTCCTGTCCGCCACCACCGGCACCAACCTCGGGCTCGGCGCCCTCATCCAAATCATCACCGGCTACCTGCTGCCCAGCAACCCCAACGCCTTCCTCTTCTCCCAGGCCCTCGGCTCCTGGGCCCTGGCCGGCTACGGCGACAACTACGTCCAGGACCAGAAGATGGCCCACTACTGCAAGATTGCGCCCCGCGCCGTCTTCCGCTCCCAGATCGGCACCATTGTCATCACCTGCTTCGTCGCCGTCGGCACCCAAAACTTCATCCTCACCAGCGTCCCCGGCCTCTGCACCGAGAAGCAGCCCTCGCAGTTCACCTGCATGGGCGACGGCCACCCCATGTACGCCAGCTCGCTCATGTGGGGGCTGCTCGGCTCCGAGCGCATGTTTGGCTCGCTCTATCCGCTCTTCAAGTGGTGCTTCCTCATGGGCTTCGGCATCGCCATGGTCTTCCTCCTCGCGCAGGGCTACGGACCCAAGTACCTTCCCGGCGTCAAGGAGAAGCTGCGGACCAGGCTTCGCCCGAATACGTTTGCCATGCTGGACCGCACCCTGTTCCCGTTTGTGGCCTCGCTGCTCTGGCTGAACCCGGTCCTCATCATCCAGGGCATTCAGCACTGGGCGCCGTCCAACCTGAGCTACAAGACGCCGGGCTTCATCCTGTCGTACATCTTCATGTACTGGCTGCCGCGTCACCGCCTCGCCTGGTGGGCCAAGTACAACTATGTTCTCTCGGCAGCCTTGACGGCCGGTCTTGCTGTCAGTGCGCTCATCATGTTCTTTGCCATTGGCTATCACCCGCATCCGCTCAAATGGTGGGGGAACACTGTCAGTGGTGCCGGTGTCGACGGGAGCAACAAGGGCATCCTGCCGATCCCTTCACGTGGATACTTTGGACCTGAAAGGGGGACGTTTGGCTAGAGAGTGAATAGTATGAAACATGAAGATGAAATGATTGTTTGATTGTAGTAAATGCGAATGGCGCGTTGTTTGGTGCGCTTTGAATGCTATGTTGATATAGGATCACATCAAGTCTATAAGAATCGTGTATGCCAACAAGTCTTGATTTTGAATATTGGACGAGCACAAATGGTAGCCTTCAAGGCAACAGAGCACTGTATCGTCATGCCGCGTGGTTGCAGGGATCAGCCGATCAGCCTGATGATTCTTCATTGATGCCTTGTTTGACTCCACTCGGCACCACGACCGACTAGGCATCCGACGCATTTCACCAACAACCAACCTCAGCTCCAGGCAGCACAATTCGAGAGCCTTCAGAAGCCATCCCAAGATCAGTCAACGTCCTTTTTATTCCTAGCATCCCATCCCACAAACACCCACCACAACGTCGTCACCATGGCCGCACCCAGCTACGACTACTCGTTTGACGCCTCCCTCGCCACGTTCAACATATCCAAGGCGGCCTTTCTCGCCGCCCACCCTCACATTGCGCGCGTCATGGCCGCCGCCATGGTCTTCCGGCCGTCGTCCCCGCCGCGGACGCTGCTCCTGTGCCGCGCCGCCACCGACACGTACCCGCTCAAGTGGGAGGTGCCCGGCGGCAGCGTCGACGCCGCCGACGCCACCATCCTCGACGGCGTCGCCCGCGAGCTCTTTGAGGAGTCGGGCCTGACCGCCACCCGCCTGGCCGCCCCCATCCTCATGAGTCCCGAGGAGCCGCTGCCCGAGCCCGTGCGCGCCGGGCTCGGCATCCAGCCGCAGCACGAGACCCTCGGCCACGAGGGGCTCACCGTCACCTTCGTGGAGTCGAGGAACCTGTGGGCCAAGCTGACGGCGCTCGTCACGGTCCGCGCCGACGACGAGGTCCGCCTCACCCCCGAGGAGCACGGCGAGGCCGCGTGGGTCTCCGAGGACGAGGTCCGCCGCGCCGTGCTGCCGCCAAAGGAAGAGGGCGAGGGCGAGAGGAAGCTGGACTTTGTGAGCGATGGTGTGCGCAGGTCCATCCTGGACGGCTTTCGAGTATATGCGGAGAGCGTGGCAAAGGAGAGCAACCAAGCATAGAATTTACAAGTATGGGGGACTGGAAGGGACATGACAAAAGGGGTTTTGCTTCAGCAACTGGAATGTATGTGACAAACGACGTATATATACATGGGTGCAACGCCGGGTTTCAATGATAGAAACAATAATACAAACGCTATGCTTCACACCTCTACATTCGCTTGGCCCCCATCTCTTCACCACCGTAGTCATCCCAATCTTCGTCGCGGCCGCCGGCGCTCAGCCGTCTGCCCAGCCAGAGCCCGAGCATCGTGACGGCGCTGCCCGTCAGGAACCAGCCCTCGAACCAGCCGTCGACAAACACCGGGCTCAGGGCGCCCTTGAGCACGCCGCCGACGGCGGAGCGCGCCTCGAGGGGCAGCTGGCTGCGCATGAGCAGCGAGGCGCTGATCATGTAGGTGGCGGCGACCTGGCCGACGACGAGCGCCAGGTTCGCCTGGGCGTGGCGCAGCAGGCCGGGCGCCCAGCGGGCAAACAGGTGCAGCGTCTGCAGCGCGCTGTTGGCGCTCGCGAGGAGCAGCACCCCGCTGAGCGCGAAGCTGATGATGCGCGCCCACGCTGTCTGGTCCAGCGTCGGGTCCCAGTGCAGCGCGAGCAGCCCGAGGAACCGGTTGATGGGGTCGCTGCTGGCGAAGCTGGCTGCCGAGGGAGGCCCGGCGCGGGCCCGGCGCAGCGTTGTGCGCGCCGTCGCGGCGACGCGGTACACGCAGTACGCCGCGAAGAGGTACGACGGCGCGAGGCACACGCGGCCGCAGGCGGTGGTGGCGCGCGCATCGGCCGCGCGGCGCCCGTGCAGGAGGGCCAGGTTGGACGCGAGCGTGGCCTCCATGGTCTCGAGGCCGGCAATGTCGACGCGCAGGCTGCGCATCTCCGCCTCCTCGGGGGAGACGGCACCGCGTAGCGAGCCCATCATCTTGCCCATGAATCCGGTGGCTGCCTGCGTCTCGGCGAAGCGGGGGTCGGCGACGCGGCGCTCGAGTGCCTGCAGCCGGTGGCGCTTGGTCAGTAGCATCTCGTTCGTGGCGTCGAGGCCGGCCTGCTTGCGGTTCACGTCGGCCTCGGTGACGGGCCGGCGGCGGCGGTCCGTGACGGCGGTGAGCGTGTGCCACGGCGCCGACACCGAGGCGAAGCCCGCCAGCAGTCCCATGAGCGAGATGCCGACGACGCCGATGCGCTCCAGACAGGCACGCATCAGCTGCTGCAGCGGCGCCTCGCCGTCGTCGTCATCGTCGCCGCCCTTGCGCGGGCCCTCAACAGCCGACGACGGCACCGCACGGCCAATCTTCCAAAACACACACAGCCAGCACGCAAAGAGCGCTGTCTGCAGGAGCCAGGCGCAGCGCGGCACGCGGCGACTGCCGGGCGCGCGGGCCAGGCTCCATCCCGCGCCGCGGACGAGCGACGCGCACTCGAGCCAGGGGACCAGGCCGACGAGCAGAAACAGCAGGGCGGGGATCGTCAGGCGGAGTGCGAGGCCACGGCCAGCGCGCCCGCCGACATCGAGGATCTCGGCGAGGATCAGGGCG